ACTTTGATTCCCCAGAATTCCCCAGTCAACATATGTGGACTTCAACTCCCAGAATTCCCCAGTACGTGGACCAAATCCCAGAACTCCCCAGTCAGCATATCTGGACTTTGACTCCCCAGAATTCCCCAGTCAACATATGTGGACTTCAACTCCCAAAATTCCCCAGTCAACATATGTGGACTTCAACTCCCAGAATTCTCCAGTCAACATATGTGGACTTCAACTCCCAGAATTCCCCAGGCAGGTGCCTGGACTTCAACTCACAGCATGGCTGGCTGAGGGATTCTGGGAAGTGAAGTCCACCCATGTTAAAGTTGTGATTGAGAAACACTTCTTTTTTTAAATTCTGTTTTGAATAAAGACCATTTAAAAACAATTAAAGGCAATTTAATTCACCTTGACCTCTCCACATTCCTCCAGGCCTTGACCTCTCCAGAGAGTGACAGGTTCACTAAGGGATTATAGCAACCTTCAGAGGCCTGTGTTGACCTGAGGGAAAAAGAAATAATGGCCGCCTCCTTTGCAACCAACAGAGATCTGGATTAAGCTCCTTACCTCCTGATTCAGAAAACAGTACAAAAAGGCAACGGCAAAGCCCTAAAGAGGAAAAACACAGAGGTTAAGTCGCTCTCGCTCTCCATGTGTATGGACATACAGCTGTTCCTTGACTTATGACCACAATGGAGACCCACATTTCCATCACTAAGCGAGACAGAAAGTGAATTTCGCCCCATTTTACGACCTTTCTTGCCACCGTTGTTAAGTGAGTCACTGCAGTGGTTCAGTTCATTACACAGTTGTTAAGCGAATCTGGGCTTGACTTTGCTTGTCAGTAGGACGCAAAAGGGGATCATGTGACCCTGGGATGCTGCAAACCGTCATAAATATGAATCAATTGCCATGCGTCTGAGTTTTGATCATGGGACCATGGGGAGGCTGCAAACGGTAGTAAGTGTGAAAAACAGTGCTAAGTCACTTTTTTTTTCAGGGCCATTTGTAACTTCGAGCACTCACTAAATAAATGGTTGTAAGTCAAGGACTATCCATAACACAACACAAGTGAATATTTCTGGTCCTTCTTTTCAGCAATGATATTTATCCATATAGTATAGAATCATACAGATGAGTCAGGAAGTTACTGGTAGTCCTTGACTTATGACCCTTGGTTTAACAATGGTTCAGAGTTATGACGGCTGTGAAATAAGTGATTTATGATTAGCACCTGGCCCGTGTTTATTAAATTTGCTCTGTCATGCGATCTCCACTTGTAACCATCCCAGCAGCCAGCATCTGTGAAGCAAATTTAACTGGGGAGTCCAGAGTTTGCTTAGAGACCACATGATTCGCTTAGTGACCTCACGATTCAGTGGTTCACTTTCAACTGTGGCAAAGGAGATTGTAAAATTGGAGCCAAGCTCACTTAAGAAAACTGCCTTGCTTAACAACAGAAAATTTTTGGTTAACAACTGGGTTGCTAACTCTATCACTGCCGCGATTCACTTTACAACGGTGGCCAGAAAGGTTGTAAACTGGAGTAAAACTCACTTAGCAACTGTCTCGCTTGGCAATGGAGGTTTGGGTTTAATTGTGGCCGTACATCGAGGACAACTTATGCCTCGCAGGGCTGACAAAGCTCACCCTCTCTTTTCTTAATAATGATGATAATAATAATAATAATAATAATAATAATAATACTGCAAGTGGCATCCTTAGTTATGCTGCACAGCACACCTTGGTGCCATATTTCACCTGAAACGATCCAATGCACAGCTCCAAGTAAAGACGGGCTCCCACGTGGCTGTATTCGGGCAGGAAGTTGAAGATGATGTAATGAGTTCCAAACAAGGGGATGAGAAGCAGAGTCGACTTAGAGAAGCGCCTGGGGAAGAGAGTTAAAAAGCAAAGTTTGCAGAACGGAAGGAACTATAAGTAGCAATAGCCACTAGAGGGCACTCATGTACTCTGATGGAGGGAGCATCGTCTTCTCTAGGGGACCATCCCGCCTACAGTTTTTGTCTTTGCGGGGGGGAAAAAGCAATGTGCTGCCCGCCTCTTTCTTTCTTTCTTTCTTTCTTTCTTTCTTTCTTTCTTTCTTTCT